GATATTTGTTTATTTTTTGAGAGAAACAGAGGGGAGGGTGGAGGGGAAGAAAGAGAGGAAGAGAATCCCAAGCAGGCTTTGCAGTGTCAGCACACAGCCTGACACAGGGCTTGATCCCACGAACCATGAGGTCATGACCTGAGCTGAAATCCAGAGTCAGATGCTTAACCGACTGAGCCACCCATTGTTTTATTTATTTATTATTTTTTGATTTGTTTATTGTAGTTGTTTGTAAAAGTTTGCCCTGTGAGACTGTGTATTTATCAGGGGTAGCGACTGGGCCTCATTCATACCTGGCATCTAATGCTCTATTCTCATGGGGTAAATGGTGAGTGGAACTGAACCTCCTAGCTTGTGCCTACTGACTAGTCAGGGATATTGCTCCCTAGAAAAGCAGAGTGCCTAATGTGTGCTCCAAAAGGAGTCTTGACAAAGAAGAGCTAGAGGACAGAAAAAAACAAGAATCTTGAGGGGGATTCCTTCCCTTTAGCCTCCAGTGCAGCCTGCTCAACTCATCCATTATTTTTATACAGTCTGGTTCAGTTAGACCTAAAGCTGTAAATCTGCAAGCATAATTCTCCTTGGTGAGGAAATCTGACTCCTCTTACCTTGGAATTAGGAATGGAATGAAAGAGAGGGGATGCACTAAGAACTGAATGCTGTAGTGAGAACATATAGATTATCAATCCCTGATACATCCCTTAACTTGACCATAATTCTTATGCCCTAGATTATTGAATGCCTGAAAGAAAACAAGAAGCAGCTAAGTACTCGTTGCCACCAGAAAGTTTTTAAGCTACAGGAGACAGAGATGATGGACCCGGAACTAGACTATACACTTATGAGAGTCTGCAAGCAGATGATAAAGGTAAGGGATCCCAAACCAGGGGCTAAGTACAGGGTAAATAAAAATAACAACATAAGCTTCTTTAAACTTGGGAGCAAATTTTATAATCTTTCCACTCAGCCTGTTTTATACAGAGGAGACAGTGGTTCTCGTGGTGTGGTCCCTAGCTCAACTGCATCATCACCCCCTGGAAACTTACAAATGCTTAGGCCCCACCCTCTGCCTACTGAATCAGAAACTCTGGGAGCAGAGCTAATAGCTTTAACAAGCCTTCCAGTTGATTCTGATGCACGCTCAAGTTTGACAACCATCGAGCTAAGCTAACTGGCCTTTGACCTAAGGCACAAGTAAATAGATAACCAGTAAATATATGATTGATTTTGAGGACAGTTAGTGGTAGGTATGTTGAGAAAGTCACCACCAAATGTCTTGATCATCCACCTACCACAGTCAAAAGGCTTTTCTCTTTTATATGTTCTTTTGTTTCATATACTTCTCCAGTGAACGTTCTCTGTAACAGGCTAACTTGAGAACCTAAATGCCAGTTCCTTGTTGTATCCACATGTATAAAGAGATTTAAATTTAAGGTTCTAATACACTTAAGATAAAATAAAAGCAAATGCTTTATTAAAATAAAATGTTACTTAAAAAATAAAATACTACTTTTAAAATAAAATGCTGGTCCACTCTGGAAAACAGTATGGAGGTTCCTCAAAAAACTAAAAATAGAACTACCCTACGACCCAGCAATTGCAAAACTAGGTATTTATCCAAGGGATACAGGTGTGCTGTTTCGAAGGGACACATGCACCCCCATGTTTATAGCAGCACTATCGACAATAGCCAAAGTATGGAAAGAGCCCAAATGTCCATCCATGGATGAATGGATAAAGAGGATGTATATATACACACAATGGAGTATTACTCGGCAATCAAAAAGAATGACATCTTGCCATTTGCAACTACGTGGATGGAACTGGAGGGTATTATGCTAAGTGAAATTAGTCAGAGAAAGACAAATACCATATGATTTCACTCATATGAGGACTTTAACAGACAAAACAGATGAACATAAGGGAAGGGAAACAAAAATAATATGAAAACAAGGAGGGGGACAAAACAGAAGAGACTCATAAATATGGAGAACAAATTGAGGGTTGCTGGATGGGTTGTGGGAAGGGGGATGGGCTAAATGGGTAAGGGGCACTAAGGAATCCACCCCTGAATCATTGTTCCACTATATGCGAACTAAATTGGATGTAAATTTTTAAAAATTAAATTAAAAAATAAAAAATAAATAAATAAATAAAATAAAATAAAATAAAATAAAAAAAAAACGCTGCTTTTCACTCTTTCAGATACCAAATAGAATTGTGAAAGTTAGAAATGTCTTTAGTTGACCCTGGTAGATTTGAGTCTTATGTAAAATCTGAAATGCCAGGCTCTGATCTGAGGGAATTTTGTAAGATTTTGATGACTTTTGTAAAAATCAGTCATCAACTTATATTAAGATATCCGTAGGCTGTAATTAGCAGATACACTGTTGATTAGCAGATAGAGGTAGAATTTACTGTTAGTCCAAAATGGATCTCTGACTTCAAGGACACTAACGAGTGTACAGGGACTAGCCCCACACCGTTTGGTAGCATTATAGCACCCATAGTTAAAAGATGAACTAGACAGGTCCTTAACCCACATTCCTGTTCACATTGTTCAGTGGGTAATTTTTAAATTTCCCATTGGGATTGGGTGGATATGGCTTGAGGGCTACCTGGCCACCTGGTACAATGTTATGTTTTTACTTAAACAGTGTTTAAGATCATGAGATGCCATGTAATGTAACATAGCCATGCAGGTACAGAATCAATCCTGTGCAAAATAGGAAACAGTGAGGGTAGTAGGGAGAAATGTGAGAGATATAGTAGAGACTCGATAAAAGGAGAAGTGGAGTCTGGGTGTTTATTCAGGCTTAGCTGTTTCTCTTGTACCAAGTGATATCTTCAAGCTGATTTTGTCATTAGCTCACCAGTAGGTGGAAGGGTGATGCAGATGATGTTCATTGCCATATTTGCATAACTACGTTTGTAAATCTTTGTTTCTTGCAGAGGTTCTGTCCAGAGGCAGATTCCAAAACCATGTTGCAGTGCTTGAAGCAAAATAAGAACAGTGAATTGATGGATCCCAAATGCAAACAGATGATAACCAAGCGCCAGATCACTCAGAACACAGGTAACATCACGGCTTGGCTTTCCTGGTTCCATTGAATGTGGCTTAAATGGAGCTGAGTCGACATATATCTACCTAATTAAACTACAGATATTTTGTTGCCTGTGGATTTCAAGGGAAGAGTCTGGATCTAGTAAGGAAAATAACATATTCTTCCTTCAAAGAGTATTTGGCAGAATGAAAGTCATAGGAAAGAGGAGACAGAGGAAGTCAAGGCTGGAGTTCTTTGAAAAGTCTAGAGATTTAACAAAACTTCATGCATGTGGCAGGAGAATATATGGGTAATGTTTTTTAGAACAGAGAAATTTCAGCTCTGAGTTGCAAGACCTTATAACATAGTGGGCAAGATGAGTCCAGTATTCTCAGTGTTTTCCAAAACATCTGTTAGGGGGAAGGTTGGTGATGGCTGAGTGATTTTTTTGAGAACTACTAAAGAATACTGGTACCAGCAGACCCCACAGACGTGCTGCAAGGTAGAATTCCTGGGGTCTCTGTGTCCACATCTACCCTTTCATTTAATTATATTGCTGATTAAAAGCAGTGTAGTCAGGACTCTTGGATGGCTCAGTAGGTTGAACATCCACCTCTTGATTTCAGCTCAGGTCATGATCCCAGGGTCTTAGGATTGAGCCCCGTGTTGTGATCCACGCTGAACGCACGTGGAGCCTGCTTAAAATATGCCCCCCCTCTTCCTCTCCCCCCCCCAAAATAAAAAATAAAAACGTGCACCCAGAAAAAAATTTTTTTAATTTAAAAAATAAAAACAGTGTAATGAATGCTCGGTAAATGTTTAGCAAATAAACAAATCAGTAGTTTATTTGTGGTCATTGATGTAATATGTACCCTTTTGAAAGGTAGATCTTGAATATTTTTGAATCCAGGTGGAATATTTTATCACATACTGACAACTTTCCACTCTAGATTACCGCTTAAACCCTGTGCTAAGGAAAGCCTGTAAAGCTGACATTCCTAAATTCTGCCATGGTATCCTGACTAAGGCCAAGGATGATTCGGAACTGGAAGGCCAAGTCATCTCGTGCCTCAAGCTCAGATATGCTGACCAGGTAAACAGTCCTGGGCTCTCTGCAGAGGTGTGTTTATAGAGGCCCCTCTACTCCTGGCAATTTTTTCTTTGGAAGCCCCTAGCTTACTCCTACTTTCCCAAGACCTTTTTCGTACCTTCCCAAACCAGGGACCAAATAAAAAGCTCAAGCTGTCTAATAGGCTGATGAACTCTCCTTTTGTCATATGTAGCGGCTCTCTTCGGACTGTGAAGACCAGATCCGGATTATTATCCAGGAGTCCGCTCTGGATTACCGACTAGATCCTCAGCTCCAGCTACACTGCTCAGATGAGGTAGGATTTGGGTCTGAAGCTGGTTGTGAGCAGAGCTGGTCAGAGAAGTGTTTATTGAAGAAAAGTTCTGTACCGTCTTTCCCTTTAGCCCTGAATCCAGGGCCCATCTTCTGGACTTTTCATTGTTTGAATTTCTGGTTCCCTGTGACACTGAATTAGACTTGACATTCATCCTATCACTATAGAGTGTTGGTTCTATATTTCTCTGTTGTATTAGAGTGTTCTTTTACTATATCTGTCTCCGTATAGTTCTTCCTTCTCCTTATTCTGATGCTCAACTTAGAATTCCCCAAGACTTGCTAGAAAGAGAAAGTGTTCCTGGGGTGCCTGGGTGGCTTAGTTGGTTAAGTGTCCAACTTCAGCTCAGCTCATGATCTCACAGTTCATGGGTTTGAGCCCCACATTGGGCTCTGTACTGACAGTTTACAGCCTGGAGCCTGCTTCAGATTCTGTGTCTCCCTCTGTCTCTGCTCCTCCCCCACTTGCGCGCGTGTGCGCTCTCTCTCACCCTCTCTCTCTCAAAAATAAATAAATGTTAAAAAAGTGGGGGGGGGGGAAAGAAAGTGCTCCTATAATAGCGCTAAAGAAATGCCTGTCTTTGGACTTTGACTTCCTAGCTAGAAAAGCCCATGTGGAGAACTGTGTTCGACATATGTCAGTTTTAGGGGTTCATAGCTGAAGATTTTTTAAAGATGCTCACTCACAGCTCCCAAGGAAGACTTAAGTTTTTAATCTTTGGTGTGGACTGTGTTTTAGAACCTGTGTGTGTGTGTGTGTGTGTTGCCAAGTTGTGAGTTGAGGTTGACTCTGAACCTTTATAAATGTCAGCCATTTGCTTTTAGTATTTCACTTGGCTATGTAACCTTCCTCCTGTGGAATCAAGGAGTAGCCTTCTTTGTGACCAGTCCTGGGACACTCTGACTCAAATGTCAGGGTTGACAGCATAAACGTCAGTATACTGACTGGTTTTTGACTCTGTGTGCCAGTCTTTGTGACAGTGAATGGAGCCCAGCATCTCATCCAGGACAGGGGGCGGGGCGTGAAGTCCACTAGGAGACTGAGGAGACATCCAGACCATATGGGAGGGTCACCAAACCTGCAGGTTTCAGAGACAGGGTTTCTGGTGACAGCAGAGATGTGTTTTGTGTGTCTCTGGAACAGATCTCCAATCTGTGTGCTGAGGAAGCAGCTGCCCAAGAGCAGACAGGTCAAGTAGAAGAGTGCCTCAAAGTTAACCTGCTCAAAATCAAAACGGACGCATGTAAAAAGGTAATACCGCCAATGGCCTTGTTTCCCTGCCTGCTTTTCACAAAACTTTTTCTTCCCTTCTGATGCTGTAGTCTGCATATCTTAGCAAGAACATCTAAACCTTCCTTCCTGGGATTATACGTTTCTTCCCTCTTACGAAACTTTCACTAGAGTCTTGACAGTTAATCACCTATAACTGAAATATTCTTCCACGTGTACTGATTATTTATGAACATGTCTGAGCCCCATGACCAGGCCGTGGTTTAAGGCCCTGTGAGTGCAGAACTGAAAGCAAAATGTCAAGTCCGATAGTATCAGTAAAGATACTGCATTCATAAAAATCATTTCAGAAATAGCTTATAAAAACGAAGTTATCAAAACATGACTATTAAGCATACATTATCTTGGAAAATTGCAAATGAAATAATATATTTGATCTTTTTAAAAAAGCTTTGTCTTTTTTTGAAAAGTGTTTGAGTGATGTCATTTTTGAGTCACTGAATATTGTACACAGATATTTTCATCTGCTGAAATGTTTCTGATTCCACACGGCCTGAGGAATAATGGGAGATGGCTAAAAGCTAAATCCAGATGTTTTCCTTGGACTAGTTTGTCATCAGATGATCCCATTTAACTTTGAAGAGTAATATTTGAGTTTTGTTTTTTGTTTTCTTGTTTTTATTATTGTTGCTTTACAGGGCCTGTAGTCTCTCTTGAGAGCAAACTAATTTTTATTTAAGAAAGCACTTTTGGGGGCGCCTGGGTGGCGCAGTCGGTTAAGCGTCCGACTTCAGCCAGGTCACGATCTCGCGGTCCGTGAGTTCGAGCCCCGCGTCGGGCTCTGGGCTGATGGCTCAGAGCCTGGAGCCTGTTTCCGATTCTGTGTCTCCCTCTCTCTCTGCCCCTCCCCCGTTCATGCTCTGTCTCTCTCTGTCCCAAAAATAAATAAACGTTGAAAAAAAAAATAAATTTAAGAAAGCACTTTTGGCCTTTTGTTACCTCCTGTTCTTTCAAGTCTAAATGGAAAGTCTGCAGAGCTGATGTCACTTCCATCATGGTTATGTTCCTCTTGTTTAGGACATCTTTAGACTCACTAAGAGTTTTTCTTGCAGTAAAAGTCATGCTCTGTGAATCTTTTTTATCTTTTGAGGATAACGGAGGTAACATGAAACATTATGCAAACATTTTTCTTTGTTTGCCTGGGAGTTTTAAAACTCTGGTTTTTATTTTTTTATTTTTTTTATATATTTTTTTAGTGTTTATGTATTTTTGAGAGAGAGAGATAGAGACACATCGCGAGCAGGGAAGGGGCAGAGAGAGAGAGAGAGACACACACACAGAATCTGAAGCAGGCTCCAGGCTCTAGGCTCTGAGCTGTCAGTACAGAGCCCAAGGCAGGGCTTAAGCTCACAAGCTATGAGATCGTGACCTGAGCCAAAGTTGGACACTTAATCAACTGAGCCACCCAGGTGCCGCAAAACTCTGGTTTTTGGATTTCACATTTTCATTTTTCTTAAGAAAATAGCCGTATTATAGCAACCGATAGAAATACTAACATTTAGTATGCAACATATACAGCCCACCAGACTGCCAGAAACCCACATCTGATCTTGTAGCCCCCACTTCGTTTAGCACGTAGCTTTGATCATACTAGGCCTCCGAGTGTGTGGAATCAGTTGCTGAAAATCTGCGTTCTTTGTGTCCTCACCACGTTGTCCCTGTCTCAGAGTAAGTTCTGTTGTTAACCCCTACCCTTCCCTCCTTGACTTTACTCTTCATATGTACAGTATTTGCAGATAACAAATCTGATGTATTTCCTCTACAAAAGCTTGCTCTACGATGATTCTTCCTTCTTAGGAAGTGTTAAACATGCTGAAGGAAAGCAAAGCAGACATCTTTGTGGACCCAGTTCTTCATACAGCGTGTGCCCTGGACATTAAGCACCACTGTGCCGCCATTACCCCCGGCCGAGGGCGTCGTAAGTCACTGTTCACTCTGGCCCTCTCTGAACTACCTTGGGAGGAGCACAGACTCCTTCTGAGACAGCACTTGCGGGTACTCTGTTCTCTAGCTGCAGCACAACCACAGACAACATCCTCTGGGGGCCTGGTTGATGCCGGGACTAGGCTTTTGTGGCAGAATGAATTTAGGAATGAATAACCCTACAGGTTTGAACTGACCTAGCCATAACCAGAGGTAAGGTTCTGATGAAAAGGGAAGGTTGAGTTATTTATCAGGGAAGCAAAAGTTAACTCATGATCATGGCCTCTTCCCCCTTGGCCAAACTAGAGCAGCTTCATCAGCTCACCCAGTGGCCACATTGGGTGGATCCTGGGCAGGTAGAAGAAAGTTGTTTCTGAGCCAGACATGCCCAATAAAATAAGAAGGTTTTAAGGGTCTGTGGGCAGCTGGTTCCTTGGAAACTCAACATCATTTTTCTCCATGTTAAATCTTTGGTCAAATTTCCTAGAATGGATTTAACTTTGTGTAGCCTATACATCTGAATTCTCTGGTGATAAGGTGCCCTCCTCCCCAACCTCATAGAAATTTCTGTTCTGTACAGTTTTAGACTCTTCTCATCCCTTTTCTTTCACAGAAATGTCCTGTCTCATGGAGGCCCTGGAGGATAAGCGGGTGAGGTTACAACCTGAGTGCAAAAAACGTCTCAATGACCGGATTGAAATGTGGAGTTATGCAGCAAAGGTAATGCCCAAGAGAATCTCCTGAAGTGGCCATCTCTGTCCGTTCCCCAGATATTCCACTTGTCCTTTTGTCCTTGTTGCGAGACCAGCAGTAAGTGTATTTGAAAAGTCTGTCACTGCCCTTGGAAGCCTCCCTGGCTGTCTCTGAGCCTGTGGCCACCATCTCCTTTTGCCAGTGTCTTCAGGCTTTGCCGGGGCCACTGCTTTGTCCTCACTTGCCCATAGTCCACCGTGGAAAAGTGAGTCACCCAAAGGATGGGATAAAAGCCAGCTGTGCAAAGAGAACCAGAAATCATGCCCAGGGGAAAGCAACCAGGCTGGCCACTGTTGTCTTAAATCTCGTTTTTCTGATTTTAGTCAGTGTTTGGCAGGAGCATATGTATGTGGGACTAGCCCCGGCCTTCGCCCTCAGCTAGGCTGAAACAGGAACGCTGATAGGGTAGAGAGACATCAGGACAGGTGAATGTGTGTGATACCCAGGCAGACTTGGGCTAGGGGAGATTTTTCCTACAAAAATGCAGCCTCAGCGAGAAGAGTAACAGTTCTTCTCATGTGCACATTGCTTTGTGGTGCGTAACACTTCACTGGACATACTACCTCACTGAACCTTGAAACGCAGCAGGGTAAGTGGAGTGATTATTTCCCCACTTTACAATGGAGGAAACTGTGACCTGCCCAAGGTGCCTCAGCGAGAAAGTCAGGTTTCTAGATCCACATTCTATCACCCCACATCGGGATGGACATTGCCAGTTGCCTTAGGTTAAGAAAGCGGTCATGAGGACCCCCCTGCTTCCTGTCACCCACATGAAAGGTCAAGGGTACCAGGCAAACAGGAAAGACCATGACAAGTCTTTACACCTAGAAGTAAGGGAAATGAAGAGAAGGGATCGCAGCTGTCCAAGTAGCACATACGCCCCTCACCCCTTCTCTCGAAGGAACGAAGTTGGCTTGGAAGCCCTCCGTTAAGTGAGGCAGCGGAGAGGGGCCAAGTCAGTCTCTTCCTTCTCTCTGCTTCTGCTGGGGAGCTGCTAAACGTTGCTGCAAAGAGATTCCACTGCTTGTTTTGTGTCGACAGATGTCAGTGCTCAGATCACGTTAATCTCACTCTGCTCTACGTATGGGGGACGAGCATAGAAACAGATGTAGCCAGACATCTCTGGGCACACCCTCTCAGGCACCCAGGCTAAGTTGAGACCCAAAAGAGCAGGTCCGTGTGCACCCGGGGAGCCTTTTGGCCCTGATTCTGCCATAGCAGGCTGCATAGAGAGAGGTCCGTTCAGAAAAGCAGTGAGGCTAACTGAGAATGAAGACTGGCTAGGCTGCAGAGCCTGTGATTACAGGAGCAATGCAGTGTACTCGGTCAGCCTGAGTCATACTTGCACAGTTTCTGATGGGACCGCACTCCTTATTTAATGGTGAGTGACAGGAAGTCAAGATACAGAACCAGCATCCAACACAATCTCAACTGTTTGTTCTCTGTGGTTTTTAATAATAAATCAGAATACCTAAGACCCTGTGTGACCTGGTACAAGTAATCACGTCCCACCCCTTGGCCTGTGGGTCTTCATCTGTAAAATGGGAGGAATACAATCTACTCTCAAGGATTGGTACGAGGACAAAATGATTGAAAACCTGTTGAGTGCTCTGCGAGGGCTTATGTGGCCAGGTCTTGAGTGTGAGGGCTGCTGTCAGGTTGGCAGGGGCGGGGATGGCGTGAGATGGATAATATGAGACCCCACCTCTTTGTAGTTGTCTGTATTTTCTCGCCTTATGTAGTAGATATATACCATAGTGTGATCAGGAAAAGGAGTTGTGGCTCTGTGTTTGATTGTCTTGTCCCTTGCCCTTTCTCCCAAAAGGAAATGACATAAATTAAACTAGGAATTGAGAGGGGCAAGTTATAGCTAGCCCTGCCTCCAACCCAGTTCTGTGTCCAAGGCCTGTGCTGCTGTGTGTCCTTCCAGGTGGCCCCGGCTGATGGCTTCTCTGACCTCGCCATGCAAGTGATGACATCTCCATCAAAGAACTACATTCTGTCTGTGATCAGCGGGAGCATCTGTATATTGTTCCTGATTGGCCTGATGTGTGGACGTATCACCAAGCGAGTAACACGAGAGCTCAAGGACAGGTAGAGCCACCGTGACCACCAAAGGAACTACCTGTCCAGTGCCCAGTTTGTACAGCCCTCCTGTATAGTGTACCCACTCACCTCGTTCTTCTAGGAGGTGGCATCAACACCCATGTTAGAGCAGCAGCAGGTGTCCTCTGCGTTGTCCCATCTCAGACTTCGCCCGTGTCCATGGTGTCCTCCTCCTCCTCGACCATTTGTGCAACAGCAGCAGCTGGCCACTTTGGTTATTGCCTTTGTTGGCAAATTTGGGTTTACCTGCCCGTAGACAAGTCTTTCTCGTACCAATGGAACTACCAGTACTTCCAGAACCAACTTACCTGACCTGCAACTCAAATGATTTTTAAAAAACAAAACAAAACAAAAACCACCAAAAAAAAAAAAAAAAAAAAAAAAAAAAAAAAAAAAAAAAAAAAAAAAAAAAAAAAAAAAGAAAGAAAAGAAAAAAATTTTTAAAGAAAGAAAAAAATGTATATAATAACACATCTCCTCCAGGCTTGACTTGGGCAATGGGGTTATTTCTTCTCTGTGACTGTAAAATGAAGCAGGACTTACGGGGAAAACACAGCACCCAATATGCTATATAACTAGGATGTCTTGCTCATTTCTCAAAAGCACCTTTGGACCATGTGGGGGCCACGGACTTCACCGACGAGTGGGAAATCAGTGACCAGTCTGCTTTGGGTCTTGTTTTCTTCTGCTAAAACAGTGATGCCTTCCAGATCTCACCTTAATAGAGCCACTGCTGGTCAGGACCCCAGGCCATGAGTATTTCTATGACCCCCTCACTTCAGTGAGGTAAAGCAAGCATGAGCTTCCTTAAGCCAGAGGCAGATGGGTTGGGGAGGAGATCAAAAGTGGGAAGCTGGTCAGAGGCTGGACCCTGAGTCCCAAGGAGCAGGATCCCAGGAATCTTCCTCCTCCAGGCTAGCACAGGTCTCAGTTACATTCGGATTGACCCTGCTGGGGATGGTGGTTAGTCTGGAAGGCCTGCGGGGAGGCAGGGACTGCAGCAGAGAGGGAGCTCGGGGCAGGAAGGAGGAGCAGGGATTGATTCACTTTGCTCAGTTTTTAGGCAACAGTGCAAGTCAAAGACAATGGCTTATAAAGATTTAGTGTGGTCTCAAGATGTGACTGGCAGTCCAACCTGACCCTTGTGCAGGCTCAAGGCCACCTTCCCAGACAAGCTCCCTTATGCCTCTTTGTAGAGAGGACTTGGAAAGTTATTACGTTAAAAGATGGAGCCTTTTATCTGTTTTTTTCTTTCTGTCCATTTGCTGCGTACACCCACTGTAGTAGGCATCGGCTGAGTGTTGTACTGTGATGAATCATCAGATGTTGTACTTCCAGAATCTAGCTTTATGGAAGCAATCTTCCTGGCCGTCCTCCTTCGTCCCTCCAGTGTGGGATGGCAGGTTTGGAGTGTAAAAGGGGAGGAGTGCAGGCATCACAGTGCAACTTGGCACACCTTGGTTTGAGTTTGGGGCATGGAGTTACAGTGGGTGCACAAGAGGGCGGCATGTACAGTAGGAGATATATTTATATAATATATATTTTATTAACCTGTTAGACGTCCACAGAGTATTATAAATCACGTGCCTAAAACTGTCCACATAGACCATGGCGCCCCTCCTTGCCCTGCCCCCCCCTTTGCCACTGTCCACATGTGCTGCGGGACGTATGCAACATTTGTCTCCCCTGAAATGTGTTCGGTACAAAGTGGGTCAGTTTGTGGATCAGTTGATGCAGATTACTCCTTGTCTCATCTGAATGATGTATATTTGAATACTGTGGTTTTCTTTGCTCATTGCTCCCCTTCCGGGAGGCAGTGCGATCCAGAAGCCAGCTGTATCCCCCTGCCTAGGGTACTGCGAGTTACCAAGGGGAACTGCTCAGCTGCTTGGTCCCTTCAGTCCTGCTCTTAGGGTCTTCCTGATTCTCAACACCTGTCCTGGGGTTCTTCCAAAACTTGAAACTCTTGGAGTCCGAGCAGCATACCCCTACCACCACCATTGTTGGACTGAATTGAGCTGGTCTGGATAGTCCACCTCCAGGAGTTCCCACCTGGGCCTGGGGGCTTGGAATTGAGAACCGGGGATGTCCTCTCAACGCAGGCCCCCACTGACCTGTCTGGCATGGTTCACAGGATAGAATAAAGCATTCACCATTTGGTGAGTGTGCGGGTACCATTCTCCATCTCTGCGTTCTCCCTCCTAGTGTTTGTAAAACAAACCAATAGTTTAAGGTATCTGGACATTTTGGCTTTGTCTGAAGCATATCTGGAAGCTTGAAAAGGATTTTGATTCTTGAAACATTTATCATCTTTAGAAATGATACAATAAATAAAAGGGATAATTCTGCCATTATTTTTGTTGCTTTTGCTAGAAAGCATTTCACCATCCTGCTTGGAATAGTTTCATATGACTGGTTCTTGACAGTCCCAGGTAGTGTCCTGAGCAGTTTTCTACCTGCAGGGGGCCCAGCACCTTCTGAACCTGCAGCTCAACTGTATCCATTCTGCCCCCCATTTGGTATAATAACACAGGTTCTGGGGCACCTCTGGTCACTGGCCTCAGAGGTCAATCATGAGTAAATCACCTAGTCGACTCAAGAAGAAATCGCCCTAGTGGAGAAGCTGATGATGGACCTCAGCCTTTATCTCCTCTGATGTCTAGCCTGTGGACAATAACAAGCAGCTGGTGGGGGGTTTTCCACAGTCAAGGCCTCAGGTGTTTGCCGAAAATCCAGGTAACTCATCTGGCCTTATTAGTTCTCTCCAGGGTCTGGGGAAGTCATATGAAGTGTGCTCCAGAACACTCCAGAGGCCCCGAGAGGTTACTCTTCTGGCCTGGAGGCCCTCCGGTACAGGAGATTGGAAATGCAGGGCGACTGTCAAGAACAAGACTCTTCCCTCTAACTGAGTTTCTCTCCCAGAAGGGTAGCCCTGGAAGTGAGACCCTTACCCTGGTGCGGCCCTGACCATCCTCTGCTATTGCTGCTCTCCCAGGAGACATGTGCTAGCAAGATGTGCTGAGGTAGGAGCATAGCCAAGGCTTGGGTTCACTCCAGCAGGAAAGTCTTCCTCCTCTACATTCCCTGGAGGCCCTCTGGCTGCCACTGCCAGTTCTGTGGGTCCAGTCAACGCACTCCAAACCAGTGCATCCTGAGTACTGGTACTCAGCAGGCATTGGCTCGAATTCACTGCAGGCCTCCGGCTGTCTGATATCCTGTGCTTCCTTTTCTGGGGAACAGTGAGCAGCTCTGCCTGGGCGAGAGAGGGAGGGAGATTCTGCTTTCCTAGAAGAGGTGACAGAATTGTCAGAGTTCACTTCTTCCTATTTCCTGAAGTTGTGTCATAAAAGAATCCAGTGGTAAAGAGGTCTATAGTATCCATTTACTCATCAGACAAAATGGAACGAGACTTCTCTGCCGACTTCCCTGTCTTCCCAAGAAAAGATTCACTCTCTTGTGTGAGTATGACTTCTGGAAATGTCTCCCATCCTCCCCACCCCCAGGCTTGCGGTACAGCTTCTGTCCCACAGATCCCCACTCTAGGGAGTCATCCAGGGAGAGAGAGATGGCTTCATGGGCCTCCTTTCTTACTTAGCTGGTCTCAAGTTCTTCTGAGAAAAAGCTTTCATATCCCGTTTCTTCCCCTCCCCCACCAAAAACTACATGTTCTCCACATCCATCTTCTTTTAAGCAAGCAGATACAGAGAAGGAAGCTGGAAGGGACCCATGGCAGCCAGCCAATCCAGCCTGACCCATTCAACCTAAATTTTGGCCACAGAACCATAAGCATATGGCTTTTTGAATTGTGTGCATTTTGGTATATATGTTTGTATTTCAGGTTCTTATGGATTTGGGAAACCTGAACGATCCTTTTTTTCTCCCCCGCTTTGGACAGCACCTACGTAGCTTTATCGAATGCAGCATTCTGGTACCCTGAATTTCTCCTCGGCCTTCAGGGACACTTCTCTCCTTCACCTCTTTTCCACTGCTCCCTGATTCCCAAGGGCCGTGAGGCCACAGCTCCTGTTCTGGCCTGCCCCTCCTCCCTTCCTCCCTCACTCTATCTCTCTCTCTTGTCTTTGGTTGGCCATCTCTCTAATACACTCCTCTTGGTCCTCCTCTCCATTAGGACCAAGGTCCCATGTTAGGGCATTCGAGTCTGAAGCCGAATCCCCCTTCTTGCCCTGACCTCAGACAACAGATAAGTCAGAGCAAACCCAGACTGACTCTTCTGAGTGACAAGCTTCTCCCAGCCGTCTAGTGAGATCACTATGGAGACCCCAGGACTGCTTGTTATCTGGAGCACAAGGTGGAACTATCTGTTTAGTCTGGTGGTAGCAGGATCCTGATGGTGGTTTTCTCTCCTTCCTCCTCCCCAAGATCTGTCACAACACACCGGTAGGGATGTTGTTGGGATACATGGAGTAGAGAAACCTTCCTGGGCAAGGAGAAAATTCAGATAGTGCCTCTATATTCTGTTTTTGCCTTCCCCCAGCATGGAACCCATGGAACCCATGGAACCTGGACCCCAGAGCCCAGCAGGCCTATGCCAGGAGCTAGGGAGGTTGGAGAGGCCCCGGGCAGACTGCAGTCAGTGCATGGGGTCGGGTGGCCAGCAGGACAGCCAGCAGCAGGAGCCTTCCTAGCAGCTTCTCCCGGCACAGTGTTCCCAGGTCAGTCCAAGCAGGAAAACAGACTGAACAGCAGATGCTGTGTGACATCTTAGGCCTTGAACTTTTTTTTTTTTAAGAAAGAGAAAATACAGAAAAGTAAAATTAACAAGCCTCTTTTGTAAATGATTTTTCTTTCTATGTATAAAATCCCAGCAGTTCCTTGTTTTTACATGTTCATGCTGTGTAATTTTGAGATGTTACTGAGATCCTGAACATAATGTGCATTTTTTTCTGTACAGATGAAATGGGAGAATTTAATAAAGAGTTTGCAGGTTTTTACTTGTTAAATCTTCTCTGGTGACTGGGAGGACGCCCCCAACCAACTGCTCTGTGAGGAGCATCTCCCGAGCTGTGCCCCCTGACCCTACTCGCTGCGCTTGGTGGTGTCATTTCTGTCTCCTCAGCTAAATAGGTCAAGCAGGGTAGGACCACAGGAACTTTAGAGGCCGGATCCAAGGTTTTCTGACCGTCAGGTTGATGTGTTGGGAATTACTCACTTTAAACCACATCATAAGGCTCCTTCCTGGGGAGAGCGTAGCTGGGACCCATCGTTGCACATAAGGCACATGGATGCACTGGTCTCTAGTGGTCACCTTCCCTCTGGGCCCAGAACTAGGCCACATTTCTTGTCCATGCCCTGTCAGGTCCCTGTTCATCAGCCCTCACCTCCCCGTTCCAACAGCCC